CAACAGTTGCAAAGCTGCTTTCTCTGCTGAACGCAGCCAATCTTCAATGCGTAGTCTGATTCCGGCCTAATTGTGTGTGACCAATCAAACGGATGTGTGACTGAGATGTAGGTTGGGCAGAAAGTTAAGCGTGACGGTGTTGGCAGCCTTGTTCTCGGAGGGAAGTCGAGTAGCGCGAAGTGAGCAGCGGAACGCGGACGACGCGGTAATAAGTAATAAAGTGTGTAAATGTGAAAGTGTTGATTGCGATTTACGTTTGTGATGTACATTGACGGATATCTTGTTCCGCGTATGTAATTGATTGTCGGCGCAAGTGAAACAATCGGTTTGACAACGCGTCCAGCGAGACAGCCGCCCCGCGTGCCTGTGATATGCCAATTATTAGCGCTTGCGGACCCGCGAATGGAGGTCCTGCGGTTCTAGAGACAACCGACGCCAAGCAGCGAGCAACGACGTTCTCGACGCCGAGGCGCAATTACTAAAGGTACGCAACGTACGCCGCCCGGTCGTCCGCCGAACCGGATTCGCAGACTCGCGATCTGTAAAAACCCTCCGCGAGTAACGGGGGATGAAGGACAAGTGTTCTCCTGTTCCTAGACAAACGGCATCGTCGTTCTCTCGAAACCGCGCCAATTAGATGACGGCTCTTTCCCGCCATATTTTTCAAAGTTCTTTGCAACGTGGATGCCTCCACCTGCGGTAATAGTTTCCATCGCAGACAGAAGGAAAAAGCACTTCCCCGACGCCTAGACGTCTGCCTCTAAATCGGCTCTCAAATTACAGCTCAGTTATAACTTCGGTTACTTGCGTTACACTAAATTAGTGCATACTAAAAACTGCTGTGCATAAAATTAAGAAAGTTAAATGTAAACGCATATAAATATTCTAAATAATTAAATACATAATAATGATATTGTTATGTTACTTAACAGAATATACATGTATTAGAAGTGTGATTTAGTTTTGAGGGTTTTATTTTCTCAAAAACTGATTTATTTAAACAACATACCATGTAGACGTTTAACAACTATGTTGTATGATCAACTCTGGCAAGTTCTGACATGGAGACAAGTTTTGTGCTGGATTTTCATTCAATAATGCTTGCAAATCTGTATTTCCCAGCTTTTGTCATTAACATTGAAATTGCCACTTTTGAATCGATAGAATCAATATTCACACGTCTTAATTGAGCAGCATCAAGTTTCTATCAGAGTTCTATAACTTTCAGTCATAATTTTCTTCTGATTGAAAAACAAAATCAACGCATGTCAAAAATGTTCTTTAGAAAGCTCCATTTAAAAAATGGTATAAACATGATGTTTACTGCATCTATTGCTAGTAAACGGCTAAATATCATGGAGAAATATTAAAGCGTTAAGAAATAATAGCACTGTGATTGGAATGTCTTCGATAACACTGACATTAATACCATCTCTTGCAAAACCCTCAAAACTAAATCACACTTCTAATATTATTTCACTGTTTCAAAGTTGATAAAATTAATGATGCATATAGATATTTTACAAGTATATAAAGCAGCCTTTAATATGCATTAATCCAGTGTAGTTTGAGTGACCAAATTCACCATTGGCTAAAGCGGCACACAATGTTTGTTGCACAATCTTGCTGGATTGCTAGCTGGATTAGAATCTTGCCACTGTATTGGTTGCAGTGCTGACAGTGCCAACAGTGGCAAGAATTTAATTCAACAAGAAAACAAGCATCGTGTGCCACTGGCTTTATAGTCCTGTTCTTTTTAGTTGAACTTCTTGTACTTTCATCTTCTTTCTTCATTTTCTTTTCATGTTGGAGAAAAGAAAGAGAAAAGAGATGAATCATGCAGAGTTTAGATAAAAAGAACAAACTTATAGAGTCTGACAGTTTAATTTAATTCGTCCGAGAATAATTTAACAAAAGCAAAGCTGTTTACAATATGCTTTAACTGCCATTTACTTTGGTCACAGCACCCTTATTTATATTTGATAAACAACGAGGATAAAATAATATTTAAGTGCCAAAGTGAATACAATCTTTGTATTCTAGTTTCTCATAGTAGGAGTTGGCTCCTATAGATCTTTATGCCTGTAATATTTATTTCATTGATCCATAGATATCTAAAAGTACATCATACCAAAATGAGTACAGCTGTGGCAAATGGAGCTGGCAACAGTAAGTCGGTTGCCAAACAAAAAACCATTGAAGGCATCTATCAAAAGAAGTCGCAGTTGGAACATATCCTGCTGCGTCCAGATACCTACATTGGATCTGTGGAGCCAGTAACAGAAATGATGTGGATCTTTGACAAGGAGAAAGAAATGATGGTGCAGAAGGATATAAAATATGTTCCTGGATTGTATAAAATTTTTGATGAAATCCTGGTAAATGCTGCCGACAACAAACAACGCGATCATAAGATGGATATGATCAAGATTGATATCGACTCGTGAGTCATCTTAAAAAGCATTTTGAAATTCTCAAAATATTAAACATAAATTGTCAGTTAAATAACACATGATTAATTAAGCACTATGTTATTATAGGGAGAACAACACCATTTCTGTATGGAACAATGGCAAAGGCATTCCAGTAATACACAAGGAAGAGAATATGTATGTCCCTACCATGATATTTGGTCATCTTCTGACATCGTCAAATTATGATGACGAAGAGGAGAAAGTGACCGGTGGTAGAAACGGTTATGGTGCCAAGTTGTGTAATATTTTTAGTCATCGTTTTACTGTTGAGACCGCGACAAAGGAATACAAGAAATGCTTAAAACAAGTGAGTGCAAAATACATTGATAATCTTAATCCTTAATTCTTTCGGTACATTATAATATTCTTCTCTTTTACAGACATGGGGTGATAATATGGAAAAAGCTAGCGAACCTAGAATTAAAGAATATTTCGGAGAAGATTTCACGAAAGTTACATTTTCGCCAGATTTGTCAAAGTTTAAAATGCAATCTCTCGATGACGATATTGTATCTTTAATGTCTCGAAGAGCATATGATGTAGCTGCCTCTACGAAGGGCGTTAAGGTTTTTCTGAATGGAACTCGTGTACCAGTAAAGAATTTTAAGGATTATGTCGATTTTTATATCAAAGGAAAAGAAGACGATATTGGTAACCCATTGAAAATTGTGTATGAGGCTTGTGGTCCACGTTGGGAAGTGGCTCTCACTTTATCTGATAAAGGATATCAGCAAATGTCATTTGTAAATAGTATCGCAACAACAAAGGTAAGATGAATAGCTGTGTACAGTAATTTCCTTTTGAAGTATAAAATTGCTCCAAATATTTAAATTCGCCGAATATCGATAGGGTGGCAGGCACGTCGATCACGTGACGGAGTTAATAGTCAAACAATTGATTGAAACGTTAAAGAAGAAGAATAAAGCTGGTGTAGCCATTAAGCCGTTTCAAATTAAAAATCACATGTGGATCTTCGTTAACTGTCTCATCAACAATCCTACCTTTGACTCGCAAACCAAGGAGAATATGACTTTGCAGCCGAAAAGTTTTGGCTCTAAATGTACACTATCTGATAAGTTTATCACTTCGGTAAGTGCAAATATTTCTATCGAAGTTTGTACACGTTTGACCATTCTTTTCAATGTGATCGCAGGTCACAAAAATTGGTGTTGTGGAAGCAGTATTAACTTGGGCGAAGTTTAAAGCTGACAGTCAGCTTGAAAAATTAGGTCCTAAATCAAAACAAAGAAAGCTTCACGGTATACCCAAATTAGAAGATGCCAATGATGCAGGAACTGCAAAATCACTGGAATGCACACTCATCTTGACTGAGGGAGACTCAGCCAAAACAATGGCTGTATCCGGTATTGCTTCCATAGGCAGAGATAAATATGGCATATTTCCATTGAGAGGTGAATTTGTTTTATTAATAAAATGAATAGATTTTTTAGTACTATAATAATGCTAATCAATATTTTATCGTAGGTAAAATGTTAAACGTACGGGAGGCTACCCATAAACAGATCTTAGAGAATGCTGAAATCAACAATTTGATAAAAATCCTTGGTCTTCAATATAAGAAAAAATATATAACTCGGGAAGATATGAAGACGTTGCGCTATGGAAAGATGATGATCATGACTGATCAAGATCAGGTAAAATATTTTATATAGATATTAACACACACCTCTCTCTACACACACACACACACACACACACGCGCGCACCTATATTTACGATTAAATTTGGATTTGTTTAGGACGGTTCACATATCAAAGGTCTGTTGATCAATTTTATTCACCACAACTGGCCATCGTTATTGAAACTGAACTTCATTGAAGAATTTATTACGCCTATCGTGAAAGCCACTAAAGGCAGTCAAGTTTTATCTTTCTTTTCTCTGCCGGAATTCGAGATGTGGAAGAAGGAAACGGAAAACTTTCACACATATAAGATCAAATACTACAAAGGTGTTTACTCAGAAATCTATTTCCTGCCATTTTTATTAATTATATCAATACTTACGCATACAGGATTGATCTAACATAAAGTCCTTTTTTTTTTTTAATTTATATAGGTTTGGGTACTTCAACCGCCAAAGAAGCGAAGGAGTACTTCGAAAATATGGCCAGACACAGAATACGCTTCCGATATGACGGCGAGCAAGACGATCAAAATATCATCATGGCATTCAGCAAGAAATGCGTTGACCAGCGTAAAGACTGGTTGATGAATCACATGAATGAAACAAAGAGGCGAAAGGAGATTGGCCTCAGTGAGCGTTATCTCTACGAGAAGGACACACGCACTGTCTCTTTCTCGGACTTCGTTAATGTCGAACTGGTGCTGTACAGCAATTATGATAATGTAAGATCTATTCCAAACATGATGGACGGCTTTAAGCCGGGCCAGAGAAAAGTATTGTTTACTTGTTTGAAACGCAATGACAAACGCGAAGTGAAAGTCGCGCAATTGGCGGGATCTGTCGCCGAACATTCTGCTTATCATCACGGTGAGACGTCCCTGATGGCGACCATAGTTAATCTCGCACAGAATTTCGTGGGTAGCAACAACATTAATCTGCTACAGCCCATCGGTCAATTCGGTACAAGACTTTCTGGTGGAAAGGATTCCGCCAGTCCGAGATATATTTTCACGATGCTCAGGTACTTGCCATTAGTACGATATAGATATCTACACACAGAAAAAGAAATTATATTGTGTATATATATATATATATTTCTGCATACTTGTCTCCTTTTTTTTTCTATAGTCCTTTGGCAAGGTATATATTCCATAAACATGATGATTTTCTGCTAAAACACGAATACGACGATAATCAAAGGATTGAACCTGTTTATTATATACCTGTGATTCCTATGGTATTAGTAAATGGTGCTGATGGCATCGGTACCGGATGGATGACAAAAATACCAAACTACAATCCTCGAGAGATAATCGAGAATTTACAAAGGATGATGGACGGCGCGGATCCAAAACCAATGGTATTAAAATTATCTAGAAAATTACATCGATAATTTAGATGTACTTTATATTTAACACAATTATACAAAATGTTCCAAATATAAAAATATCGATATATATATATATATATATTTTTTTGTCATCTTGAATTTCGTCAATATTTTTGTTTAGATACCGTATTACAAAAATTTCAAAGGTGTCGTAGAGAGCTGTGGGGATTTTCGTTACGTTATAAGTGGAGAGATATCAGTGATCGGACCCGATAAGGTAGAAATCACTGAACTTCCTATTGGCACGTGGACACAAGCTTACAAGGAAACTGTGCTAGAACCCATGTTACATGGAACTGATAAAACGCCGGCTATTATTACGTAAGTATTATAATTGACTAATGATAAGATCTGTATGAATTTTCTATTAATTTCAAGAATATCAATTGTATCATAGGGATTATAAAGAGTATAATACAGATACGGCAGTACATTTTATAGTAATAATGAATCGCGACAAATTAGTGGAGCTAGAAAGAGATGGTCTTCATAAAATATTTAAACTACAAACAACGATGACCATAACATCGATGGTAAGATATCAGAAATACTGATGTAATACTACTAATTGAAAATGAAACGGAAATTTGTCAACGATACTTTTTGTGCAGTGTGCATTTGACGAAAATCAATGCTTGAATAAATATGACAGTGTAGTACAGATATTGAAAGGATTTTATAAAGTACGATTGGAAACTTATCACAAGAGGAAAGATTATCTGGAAGGAGCTTTGCAAGCGGAAGCGACAAAGCTGTCGAATCAAGCACGTTTCATCCTCGAGAAATGCGATAGCACTCTAGTGATAGAGAACAAGAAAAAGAAGGACATGATAGCAGAATTAGTCAGACGTAATTATGAGTCGGATCCGGTGGTAGCTTGGAAACTATCGCAGAATAGGGAGCAAGTATTGGTAAGTAGATTTTTGCTTGGAAATTCCCTGCAAATGCAAAAGAATCTTATTTATTGGAATTTATTTATTCTGCTACATAAGGAGGATCAAGTAAGTTAATATAGAAAGAAACATTATATAAAACTGCCAATGCAGACATTGTAACATAAAGGTCTTTTGGCAAACAACCATTTTCCATAAATAAATATTTTAGCAGAAACTCTTTACTGTCTAACAAAAATAGGCAGAGAATTTTCAGTTAAATATAGAACTTTGGATTATATAATTGCTTTGTAAAAAGCCTTTCCCCATCGTTTTCATAAATACATATAGCATTAATAATAATTCTCATTGTTCAAATAAATAGGAAGAAGTTGCAGAAAACGATGACGAGTCCACTCTAACCGCGAACACAATGGAGAAGGAAAATTTCGATTACCTTCTCGGAATGACGATGTGGTCTCTGACGAGAGAAAAAAAGGAAGATTTGTTGCGTCAACGAGACGAGAAGATAGCAGAGTTGAAGAGATTGCAAGTTCGCACGCCGATTTCTTTATGGAAAGAGGATCTGGATAATTTGTTAACCGAATTAAACAAGGTAAGGTTTTGTTTTCTCGGAAGAAAATTAACTTCATTTATTTCTGATTGCTTTACGATTTTTATATAGGTCGAAGACAAGGAGCAAAAGGAACAGATAAAATCGAAACAAGCCGTCAAAAAACCACCCTCGAAATTCTACTCTAAGATGGAAGACACTCGCCGGATAGTTCCTATTATTGATGTTGAACTGAAGAAAAAGATTGAAAAAGCTGACATCGTATCGAAGGATAAGAAAGAAGGCATAAAAAAATCAAGAGTAAGTCTATTTAATTTATATATAAAGAAGTTCGGTATATGCAAAGCAATAAATGTAAGATCAATGGCTAAAGGAAAACATGAGCAAAGATATTAAAAGTTCATTCATAAAAAATTGATGAATAGTAGTAAATTATGCGTTAAAAAATCGAAGACGTTTCTTACTCGCAAAGTTTATCAGTTCATAAAATTTAAAGTACAAATATTAATTAATAGAAAAATATAAATAGGGACGTATTTAATATTGTCTATATGTGTGAATAGATTTTCGTATAAGAATAAATAAAGGTCACAAAGAAGTCCATATCAAAAGCATATATATTAAGCATATATAACAGTGTTCGTTGTTATTTTTATATTATTTTTTCCGTTATACAGAGTGTCTTAAAATAATCGCCAAATATTTCATGGGCAGAGCGGACTAAACTGAGTCGAAAAGTCCTCTACCATTTTGCAATTTTCGCAATTACTATTGCGAAGCAATATATTAATTACTAAGCTAAAGCAAGATATTAATTACTAAGAATTGCCGAAAATTGGTCTTTAATAAAATTTTACTCAAATACTATCAACTTTACAGAAAAACTGCAAGAGACAAAAATTATTTACTTTTCTTATTGTTTATTTTCTGCTCATAGAACTCTGACTTTTTTCAGAATTTTTTAATACCGTATTTTCTCATGGTCTCATTGGTAAAAATAAGAAAATGCAATACTAAAAAATTGATTAAAAAATTCTGAAAAAATTCTTAGAATTCTATGAGAAGAAAATAAACAATTTTTGTCTCTTGCAGTTTTTCTGTAAAGTTGATAGTATTTGAGTAAAAAATTATTGAAGACCAATTTTCGATAATTTTTAGTAATTAATATCTTGTTAACAAAATATAATATCTTGTTACAAAAATTGCAAAATGGTAGAGGATTTTTCGACTCAGTTTAATCCGCTCTACCTGCCCATGAAATATTTGGCAATTATTTTGGGACACCCTGTATATATGCTTATAATTAGCATTTGATATAGTTTCTTTGTTAACTTTATTTATTTTTATAGGGAAATCTAATTTATATAGAAGTCTAATTTTTATAGATTGGTAAATGTATCTGTATTTATATTTTTTATTAATATATTTGTACTTTTTTAATTTTTAATTTATGAATTGATGAAAACTGAGTACGAAACGTTTTCGATCTTTTTACGATCCACTATTCGTTAATTTTTTATAATTAACTCCATCTTTTTTAAAATATATATTTGTTTATGTTCTTTTTTTACCATTTATCTTACATTTATTTATTGCTGTCTAATTTATTTATATATTTATACATCATGATTATATCATTAATTTCATTTTGAAATATTTTGTAACAGATGAAGAAAGAGCAAACTTCTATGGAGGAGAAAGACGAGTTTGATACGCTGGTCGATTCTAATACTAAATCCCTCGAACAAAGACTTGGAAATTCTCCTGAAAAGATGGAAAAGAAATCTGCAAAGAGAGGTTGATAAACTTTAATTCATATAGCGGATATATTACAGCGAATATTTTAACGACAAACTTTTTTACTCTTGTAAATAGGATTAAAACAAACAACGTTACAATTTAAGCCGGTCAAGAAAGGAGCCAAAAAGAAGGATAAGGACTCAGACGGAAGCGAGGACATTGATTTTGGTAGTATTTCGCCACTTCCGCAACCACGGTCGTCTCGTAGAGCCACAGGTATCAATCTCTTCATTTTTCTTTTGAGCCAAAAATTTATTAAAATAGATTACATTATATCTTGTTTTTTTTTTAAATCTTATTCTTTATTTTTTTTTTGTTTAAATAATAGCCAAGAAGAATTATAACTTTGACAGCGACGATTCGAATGAAAGTCAAGAATTATTCAATCAGTCTTCCGATTCGGAACAAACGTAAGTACAATTGTTATATTCAACAATCATTATTATATACAATCATATTGAGAGAGAGAGAGAGAGAGAGAGAGAGAGAGAGAGAGAGAGAGAAAGAGAGAGAAAAAGAGAGAGAGACTTACTTACTTCAAGTTATTTCTCCACACACATCGCGTATTTTCTTTAGATTCAAGAAGAAAGACTCCATTATAATGCTGAGTGATTCCGACGATAATATTAAACCGAACAAGAAACTACAACCAGCACGTAAGTAGACATAATATATATTTAAATTAAGCAATGTAGTTACATGCCTTACAGAAATTATTAGATATTTATTTATTTCTGCACAGCGACTTCAGAAGAACTTTTTGATTCGTTAGTCGGCAATTCTCCTGAGAAGCAATCTTCACCTGAGAAAAAACCTTTAGTATCCTCATCCGGAGAAGATTCGCCTACAAAATTTGCGCCACCTAAGAAGGGTAATAAACCTGAATCGTACAGCTAAATAAAAGTTATTTCGTAATCATTGCTCATCTCTTATCTATATCTACAGCACGTCCCAAGAAAAAGACTGAGAACGGTGGTAACAAAGGAGTGAAGAGACAGTTGAAGAAGAAACCGAAATCATCCGAGGACTCTGACACAGATGAGATATTTACCACTAAACAAAGAGTAAATGCGACATTTTTGAGTCGATATATTCAATATAATAATTAGGATAGTATCGTAAGAATTTTTTATGATTTAATTTTCATTTACAGAAGAAGAAAAAGAAGGTATCAGAATCTGATGAAGAAAGGGTATCGGATGATTCGCCGCCCCGAACTGCCGGTAGAGCTCGAAAGCCAGTATCTTACGCACTGAAGTCAGATGACAGCGACGACTCCGATTGAACATCATCGTGCACCCTGAAAAATGCGAGTAGTTGACTGGAGTAGTTTAGAGTGTGAATCGGAAACAAGACGAAACTCACAAATCGTCATGAAGAGACGTTGCACACAAGTTTATTTGGAGAATTTTCAGAGATTTCGTCCCCGCTGATTGTTGGTCGTGACATTAGTAATGATTTTATGTGAGGTGTTTCGAACAGGATCTGCCAGAATATGGAATATGTTCTAAGAATAATTTTGAGAGCAGAAATAATTTGGAATAAAAATTTGTATTTCTGCTTTTCTTGAGTAACATCGAAGATTTACTCGAGCAACACAATTGCTCAACCTCTGGCACATTCTTCCTGAAATGCTCCATACAATGTTGTACATAATTTTGCTCTTTGAGTACGCATAAAAGGTTGCGAATGAATGGAATTTCGTGAAATTAAAATGCTGTAGACAGTGCTGCAGGACGTACCACCGAGTGTGCTCAGAATACTCACGTAAATTTCATCATATGATCGAAGTCTCCTTAGAAAAAAATTTCTTTTAGTGCGGGTTGTATATTGTTATATTGTGATATCGAATTTTCACGTGTTTGTGTTTTAGATGTTTTATTTTTCAAAAGCTCGAGGAGAATACGTGGTACGCTTCTATCTTGCAAAAAAAAATGTCCAGCGCCGCCTCTAGGCTAGATAGATTAATTAGTACCGCGCAAAACGAGGGAACGCTTCTCCAGCGCACAATCATTATATTATTCTCCTCGTCGAAATTTTGTTTGTATATGATTCGATAAAACTCAAAGAAAAAGAAAGAATAGGAGAGAGAGAGAGAGAGAGAGATATATGCCGATTCCGGAAAATAAACGTAGAAAATGAAATAAAATATGAAATATATACAATTTTTAAATATATTTTTACATACGTCACAATATGGATTTTTTTCCAAGTTGTCTAAAGACTAAAAGAAATTATACAGCGGTAACTAACTATTATACATATATACATAGAACGGTTCTTAGAATTATACGGCGCTCGATATCGGTTAAGCAAAGCTGACGTTTTTAACTTTATACTGACCATACGTAGAATAAAGTAAATTTACTTCGTACTCGTGTCTCATTGTATGTAACAAAGAAGTTTTGTAGATTTTGAACTGCTGAGCGAGAGTCAAGATTCGGCGTGGTCGAATAGTTGAGAGAGTCACGATTGTAACTAGAGTTAGAAAAAAAAACCAGAGCTAAAAGTTAATGCGAATCAAAAACTGATCGATTCCCCTCACAATTTACATGCTCTTCCTCCTCTCTCTTCTTTCGTATATATATATGTTTTTTACTTTCCATATACGAGTTCGAAAAAACTAATTAACTTCGAGGCATATTTGGTGTTCTCACTTTGAATTTCACTTCTCTACTACAATTATACTAATTCTGTGTACGCATAACTTGTTCACTCATAGAATATAAGATAAAAAGAATTATTGTGGTTGTAATTAGCGCAACGATTTTACACCTGCTATTAAATGAATATCTCGATACAGAGACCAGTCGATTAGCCCTCGGCCCAAAGCGCGCGCATTCTCAGCCTAATCAATACTTCGTGTAACCTCGGCGATTTTCATTTTTATATAATTCACACATACTAAATACGTATATATAAATATATAAATAAAATGTTCTAACTTTTTAGACATTCGGCAATTCATTGTTCAGCATCGTTCGTAAGTGTCAAAAACGTAAGTGTCGGAAAAGAAATGAAAAACAGCGGGGATATCATGCATACCGTGAGAGATGCGTGTGATTTATATTTTAATTAATAAGTTTACTAATTTTAAATTATACACAAATACGTAAAATTTATTGCTATAACGTTTTCATACACCGTCCTCGACGCAATTCCTGTTTCTTTCCTTTTCATTCTTTTTTTTTTTATCGTGAGGAAGATCGTGACTATGCCGACATGTAGGGACAATTGGAAAAGAAAAAGACCAGTATTTAGTATTACGGATATTATAATAGATGTATGTAGATCATGACAATACCTTATAGTCGATGGGAAGGTATTTCTCTTTCTATTTGTGCTCAGTGAAAAGTTTTCAATAGTCCTTTTTTTTTTAATTTTTCCGTTTCTATTTTACATGCACGTGATTGCGTTCACCGATTACGTTCCTAGAGAATTCCATAGATATGTATAAATGTAAAATATCCTTCCTGTCGCAAAGTATACGAACCCTATGTGTTCTCGTGTAAATGTTCATCATTTATCACGAGAATCTCGAAGGCGTAAACGCTTGACAAATTACACTTTCGGATAATTTTTTAAAGGCCGGCTGCAGTAAACTTTTAGAGATAAGCTCTACTCAATCTAGGTTCATCGCGCGAAAATGATATAACGGAGAAACAATCCAGATAACAATTTTTATACTTTATTGATCGCGTTAATACTCCTCCCTTCCTCCCTTTTTTTATCAACGAAATAAATTTTCGGAAATCTACGTCGTAGAGGAAAACTGTCGAATTGCAACGCGAATTCCCTTTGGAATCATGTTACCTCATAGAGTGTCAATGAGCACGATTAATGCGACGTCGCGCGTGTAAAATGAAAAAAGAGTGCACTGCGTGTTCACGAAAAAAAAAATATGGGATGCGGGATGCAGGAACGGTTGATATTCTTTTTTTTTTGTCAAAATTGAAGCGACGGATCTAAGTAGTAGACTCTGTTCAGACTTGTAATGTATTCTCCTTTCTCACCACACTTCTGCCAATCACATTGATGGTATTGAATTGTTATCAATACCCCGGTGCCCACATTGTACCAATAACTGACGCAATATTTTATTAACAACACACGCACTCGCTCGCTTTAATCTCACTTTCGCTCTCAACACATTCTCTCTTCATTCTCTCTTTCTCTCTCTTTCTTTTACTCCCAGAAGCTACAGCTCGCCGACGGACGCGACTATAATACAAAGCAAGGGCACTTGATAAAATAACTTAGTTTTCTATTTCATAATTATCTATATATAACGTACATATATAAAACAAATTACGAGTAAAGAAATAATGATTGGGTCGGTATAGCATTTCACGGGCTTTCTTATCTTAAATATTTGCTCGTTTTTCCTTATCCTCGTCATATTTTTCCCGTATTTCTCGTTTGATTAATTAATTAAATCATTTAATCGTTTCTTTAAACTTGCTCTATACACACATTTGGATCCGCGCTTTCTTTCTCTCTCTCTCTCTTGCTCTCACTGTCTTTTTCTCTAACTCGCTGATTTTAGAGAAAAAAGGAGAGAAAAAAGGAGAGAAGAAAAAAGGAGGAAGAGTGAAGGAGGAAAAACGTAATGCCTGGCTTCGTTACAGCGAATCGACACGGGGTTTTAAACTATACGCGTGAGAACGGGTTTACAAGTGGTGACGATAAGTGGTGGACTACGATGCTTTTTTTTTTATTCACTTTGGGAGCACATCGCGACTCTCTTTCTCTCTCTCTCTCTCTCTCTCTCACACACACACACACACACACTCTCTCGTTTTCTCTATGCGATTCTCACTTCGCTCTCTATCGGACTATCGTTCCGGCATTATAGATAAAGCCCACTCTCGTCTCAGAATAGGAACAACCAATCAAATCTCCTTCGTGTACTCGTGTTGTGTATGTGTTTTCGTATGTGGGCGTGGATGCGCGTGTATGTTAACCGTTATTAGTCATGATACAGGTAATAATGTTAATATTCGAATAAAGTAACATGATGCACAGGCCGAGCATTCATGGAATGCCGGTACCGGCGCCGGAGGTCATGCGAGGATAGAGCCACCACAGTTGTCTTCCTACTGTCAATGCTTGTCGTCGTTCTTTTTACACCATATATATATATATTATGTCGAATTTATTAGTTTATATATATATATTTATATATATAGTATAAATATATACACTCACACTAATTTTAACAATCCTCTATCGTTCGCTCACGCACACTAAAACGCCGGGAGAGAGAAACGTCATCTCCGTGAAAGCGATTGCTCCGATTGCTTTTCTCGACTTCTTCCTACTTTTTTCTCCTATTCTTCGTTGCTTCCTTTACTCATCAACTTTATTTTGCTTCCATCGAAAAAAAAATTCATTTTTGCTTTATTTTCGTTTTACTTGACGTTCTTGCGCTCTCTCTTTCATACACATGCTCTATTTCCCCCCCTCCCCTCTTATTCTAGACGTCACTTTTATCTCGTAATGACTTATCACATGTTATTTTCTCGTTCGCACGCTCGTTCGTTCTCTCTCGCTCTCTTGTTTCTTTTAAACACTATTATCAAGTCATCGCACTGTTTGATACAAGGAACGATAATACAATTGAATATTTACGAACACAACATTGTTTCTTGTCATGCTGAATAATGTGGCGTGGCTTGTAGAAAGACGCAAGCTCCTGGACTTGCGGGTGACCAGTCTCGCATCTCTCTTGCAATGTCCTATGTAGTCGATCCTGTAAGTATAGTTGTGATGGTGTGGTGATGGCGGTGGTAGATGTGATAATAATTGTGGTGGTGGTGATGGGTGGTGGTGGTGGTAGTGGTGATGGTGGGTGGTGACGATGATAGTATCCGGTTTTAGTATTTACAATTGATTATAGCAATCGTTATTTCCCTAAGATGAGATGGTGTACACAGTCCGAGCGCTCAAGATTTGGCATGTATTGGTATATATCGAGGATTTTGTCCTTAGTCCTTCCTCTCCACTACGAACTGCTCGACGCGTTCATACCACTAAACATGCCGATATTGAACGAGCTCTGCTGCTGCTGCTGGATCTGTTGTTGTTGCTGCTGCTGCTGGCTGTTCGCTTGGCGGCCATGTTTTGGCACTGGGGGTTGCAGGTATTCATGTCTAGCTAGTGTCAGTACGTCTATACGTTCCTCCTTCCTGTATGCTAGGCAACTTCTTATGAAACTCTGTAACAGTAAATCGTTGCATTATAAAATAGTTCTCAACTTCGATTTTCATCGTTTTTTTTCTCACTGACGATCTTACCTTTGCTTCGTTGCTGACGGTTGGTTTATTCGCGAACTGGACTTCGGTGGCTTTTAGTATCGTATTCTCCTCTAAAATGGTGGCTTGCGATTGATTATGACCGAAAGGCTACAAAATAATTTTTTTTTAAATACACATGTTTTATTATATTATATTTGTGACAAGTGAAACTTTGTGATATATACTGCGATAAATACCTTTTTACCATATAGACATTGATAAAATATAACTCCTACGCTCCATACGTCAACCTTAGACGATATTTTAGGAGGATTTTTGCCAATGACGAAGCATTCAGGAGGTAAATACCTATAATAAATGCGAAAGTACAAGTTTGTAATCTCTATTAATAATTAACGAGATTAACATAATAAAATAATTTAAGAGAAAAAAAAAATATATATATATACGTACCAATAAGTACCCGCTCCTTGGGACGTTAGATCCATTCCGTGATCCGGATTATAATTTTCCTCATCCATCACTTTACTTAAACCGAAATCCGTGATTTTTATTTCACCGCACACATTGCCTTCGGTTAACAGGATGTTACCTGTAAACGGGAGCATCAAGTAATGAAATCATACTTACTTGCGTACAAAAATAATCCTCATTATAAAATTCTTCGTTAATGACTATTGTATTCGCCAGGTAATAATATTTACCTGGTTTTAGATCGTAATGTATAACTGGGGGTTTTATTTCATTGAGGTATTTTAATGCCGATACGACTTGCATAACAATAGATCTCGCTTCTCTTTCGGGTATAGTCTTATGCTGCAATGAATTTAAGACATAGTTTGAAAATGATGTAAATTTATATTACAATCTACAATATACCTAATCATTGAAATAGAAAATTCGCACGTGACGATTGAACGCTTACCTGCTTGAGGTAAAAATCTAAATCATGCCCGTCACAATATTCCAGAACAGTACAAAAGGAATTGGCATCAATTTCAAATACATCGTACAATTTTACGACTCGAGGATGATCAAGTGCTTTGTGTATATTATATTCTCGCAATGCATGTCTGTTGTAACAAAAAAGAACAAGTAGAAACATCCTTCTTGAGAAGAACTAGAGCGTGTTATTATTAAAACATCTTTAATTAATTATCGGTTATAATAAATTAATATCCACAGCAAAGGAAACTTAAGGAAACTTACTTTATGTAATTAGCCTTCTTGTCTTCTTTCCAGTCTTTATTTAATTGATGCACCTTACAAGCCACGTACCGTTGCTCTTTTAAGTCAAATGCCTATACGCGAAGAAAACAGCAATAAAATATTTTGATATGCTTATATAAATTAATATAGCTAACGAAAGCAATAGACAGAAATATCTCATTACTTTATGCACTTCACTGAAACCGCCCTTTCCTAACAGCATTAGTAGGAGGTACCGCTCATTCAAAACAGGATGAGAGTTAAATCTCGATTGGTCCTCGTTGTGAATACGCTTTAACTCTCTAATGTGTAAATTTCGCTCCCTTTCGAGCTTTTCCATTTCTAGTTGCAAATCTGCGTCTTCCTTTTTCAACGCGCTTTGCCTCAACTGGAAGCACAATTGCGAGGTTTATAAAAATATTGAAAAATCGAACATTTATGGAAAATATAATCGCAAAATGTTGATACCTTGAGTATTTCGTCAGCTTCATAATACTCCTGCCACGTATACGATCCAGGTACTGCATCTGGCTTCAAAAACGTCGCCTCGGTACCGTTGTGCAAGGAGGGTTGTGGTTGACTACGTTTCCTGCCTGTCTCGCTGTTCGACGGCCTCTTCTTGAGTAGCAGCTTCTTCTGCTTGTCGATCTCCTCTCGTTCCGTTGCTATCTCCTCTTGCCGTCGTGCAAGCTCGTGAAATGCATAACCGTCGGTCCAGTTCTCTTGAAACGTCGCACCCACCCTTTGCGTCACAAACTGGCCCAACCTCAGTCTATTTTGCATACACTTCTGCCTAGCCTCCTTTTTTTCTATGTTTGATTTTTCTTTTAATAATTTCTTTACAACGTCTATACACTTATTTATATGTGATTTGTGCTGCTCAAGCACTTTCTGTTGATTAGCGATTTGATGCCTAAGTTCGTCCGTTGTCTGTAAAGTTCGAAAAATATCTAGATTAATCTGCTATCGTCAAGATACACAGCATAGCTCTCGCTTATATAATAAATTTTAGATTATGTGAGTATTTTATGTGAGTCGATCTAACGTAAGAGTAGTAGGATTTGCATAAATAAATTACCATAATCACGCCTGCACTTACCCTATTTAACTCGTCAATTTTATTGTTACGTAGTTCTAAGTCTGAAGAGGCTTGAGTTTCAAATTCCTGTATCCTCTGGCAAGTAAGTTCTGTCTGGAATGCAATTTGTATAATTTTACGATAAACGAAACATGTTACTGTAACATCTGATACATTTGTCAGCATTATTCAAAAATATCGGATACCTTGCTACACGCAGAATGTGCATAACATAAGAAATAATTTGTTAAATAAATTAACAAAGTTACACGGTAAGTATACAACGTCTATATTTGGTGTTCTATTAACTATTTGTTTAATTACGTAATGTAATCGTTTCTATATTTCACTACGACTATGACTTTCTTTTTGTTATAGAAAATAAATTAGTGAGCAAAACTTAGGCAACTTGAACAAACGCTGATGGAACCGAGGGTCACAGGCAGCAAGGAAAACACCAAAAATGTACGCATGTATAAAATGCTCTCATACAAACGCCAATATATAGATATATATAACCCCAACAAAATTTTTAATAGATTTCATCTTGGAACAGTTAAAAACAATATTTTGGACTCATTAGAACTCAAATGCAATGTTCAATGAATCCAAAAAAATAAAGATACGATACAAAGCAATAAAATATATCTTTGACAACGCTCGCTTACAACTCGAGCATTGTTTACAAATACAGTACGATTTTTTATTTTCAAACATAGTCGAATCCTTAAAACAAGTACCTTATAATATAAACGAGTGGCACTACAAGATAGCCTGTATTTGTATAATAACAAATGTATACAGTGCTACAATTTGGCCAAAAATTAGCTGATTTGATTGAAAACATTTGACAAGAAATGCCCACCACAAATGCGTACGAAAAATCTAATCTACCTACGTTGCACGTAGGCCACAAACAAAATATTCTTAAATACAAAAATACTCTCAAGTACAAAAAATTAATTTTTGGTAATCCATCCACTCTATGTTATTTATATCACTCTCGCTTTTACCATTTTGTTTTTGCACAAAAAATTAATCCAAGATAAACCTTTACGAAGATACCTCTAACAGATAAATTTTTATTAAACAATAATTCTATATTTTTATCGGTACATTTTCATTGTTGGGAGTGACAGCTTTATTATTATCTATTTACAACACAGTGTGGTAGAGTTACTATAATTTGTTAGATTAACAATGAAGACATTTTGGAAACGTTTAAGCTTACGTATTCTTATAATATATTCAGCATTGCTGACTATTATATTGCAGTAGAAAGATACACAAGTACAAATTGTGGGACGTTTCTTGTAAAATGCTCGCAGATATTACCAAATTTTGCTTACATTTGGGGTGTTAGTCTTCGCTTGCCTGACCTGGCTTGTCCTATTGAGGTTGGTAGGCCTTACCTGCACCTGCTTGCTGACCATCGAGCCTGCAGGTTGCGACGAAGCTGGTGGAGGAGGTGGTGGAGGTTGGGGATGAGGTCTCGGTGGCTGCATCAGCGAAGAGAATTCCGCCACCGAAGAATTAGGTGTTGTTACTTGTGGCGAAAGTAACTGTTGTGGCGATGGCGGATACTGTTAGCGATGAAACATACATTATACAGGCATCACAAAGTTATAAGGCCATTTTTGTGATGTTTACGTTTATATGACATAATCTTACCATAGGATAACCCTGTTGAGGGGAGGGACTCTTGGCTCCACCATGCCGAATAGGGCTACTGCCCAGATGATGCTTTGGAAAATACTCATTGATCTTTTTATTATCAAGAGCAGCAACTGATCTAGCGCCCTTACTAGCTACAGAGCCACCTGCGACACCTCCACCTCCATCATCGGCTTTACGCTTTCTTTTCCTCTCAGAAGTAGTCCGTGGTACTTTTTCCGGAGTGTTTGCATCCACCTCCTTATCACTATGCGATGAGCCTGCAGAATTATAATCGATTGGTCAGAATGACTATAAAGGTATACCCTTAAATTTTGACATCAATATGAATAATGATAACAAATCAAAGGATTGCCTGTTTATTCAACAACATTCAATAAGAATATTTGAAGAGAACTTTCTCAGATGCACAAGACTTTATCCTCGAGGCAAGCTAGTTGCTCAGAGGACCAGGATGTGCCGAAAGCACTCAGATATTTTAAGCAAGATTCTTCCTAGTTACGCTGCATATCAATGTCCAAGAACGAATCTGACTTACCAGTGCTCATGTTCGAGTCTTGACTATGAACTGTCTGACCAGAGTTTACGGTTGTTTGGGGTGCCATCTGAATTTGTGACCCAGCAGACATCTGAAAGCAGAAGGACGGACGGTGTAAAATATACTGCGAGCTTTCGTCGAGCGGCGAAGAGAACAGCACACAAGAGGAGAGAAACAATGCAACGAACCAAATAGTGGCCGACTATAGTCACGAGGAGCGCCTGGGCGATTCAACCGTTATCGAATGTAAGGCACGTCGTCGCCACATAGTAATGACGAGTCGTACGGCGAAGCCAAAGTGGCGTACGAGACCGACCACGAACGATAGTGACGACGGGTGCGAGAACGAGAACGACGAATGCGAAGCACGACGAGAGAGAAAGAGAGAGAGAGAGAGAGACAGAGAGAGAGAGACGGCTTCAATGATCCCTCTCGAAGACGCGCGAGAGGTTACGCGCTTCGCGGACGACGAAAACCGGCATACGACGCTTCGAGAGAATCGCGTGTTATTAAAAAGACACAATTTATTCTAAGGGGAACAAACCTGGAAGGATAGAGAAAGACTTATGGAGCGGAGAAAAAGGGGTGGGATGAGGGGCGCCGGACGGTGCGTGGAGGGGCGAGAAAAGAGAAACGAGAGAGAGAGAGAGAGAGAGAACGCGTGCTAGTGAGAAAAACGAGAAAAGGAAAGAATGGTAGCACGTAAGAGAGAGAGAGAGAGAAGGAACAAACTGCGGCTAGAGAAAGAGAGATGGAGTTAGAACGATAGAGAAAGAGAGACCGACACCTTCCAGGACGACCTATGGTGAAGTCCCATAGTAAACGCGCCGTCCGGGGCCGATTGGCGGTCTGTCAACGGCAAACGGAATTTTCACGCGCGATCCTACCGAGAGTGGTGGCGGCGTGTAAGGGAAATGTCTGATATACGTTTAGAGCTAGAGGAATCACGACAAAATGGAGGACCTTAGAGCAGCGGGGAGGCGGGCGGGCGGGAAAGAGGCAGGCAAGCAGGCAGGCAGGCAGGAAGGGAGGGAGGAGGGAGCGGAAGGGCGACGGAGATTCTAAGGGGCAACGAGCGCGTGTGGGACAGGAAGGGAGGGCAAACGACGACGGCATAGAAGAGGAAGGGAGAGGGGGAGGAGGGAGGGGTGGCCGGGAGGATGGTTAGGAAACGGGCGCGGGGTAGGAGGTACGAACTTGACGGCGCGCACGATTCGAGAAGTGCATGGGCGATGATCGGTAACCGCGGGCGCGCACCACGAGGGGGCAGTTTTACTCGCTACGTTGCGCTTCTGAACTCCCTACGGCACGGGGCCGAGGCCGTGGTTTTTAACTTGGGCTCTCTCTCTCTCTCTCTCTCTCTCCCGTGCGCGCGCGCATATTTTCGTAAGCGGCATCATCCACGGCCACCGGCGACAACAGCGGCGTCGGCGAGGCGGTCGCCGCGGAGGGACGGGGGGACGCGCCCCGTCGTACCGCTGCGCCTCTTCGATTAACAGCACCGATAAGCGAGAGAAGAGAGCGACGACACGCTACGTCATTCCAGCCGGCCGTACGGCGCGGCGCGGCGCGCAAAGTGTGACGTCGTCGTGCGGCCGTTGCGCGTCCCGCGTAGCGATAAATTACGCACCTACGCGCGCGTCACTTCTCTTCTGCTCTCTTCCTCCATGGCTCATTTTTCTCTCGCTCCCGAACGGCCACGAACGATACATCGCTACGCGCTTTCATATATATATATATATATATCTCCATCCCCCTCCCCTCTCTCCGAATTAATATCGCGAATAACTCGTCATCGATCTGTCGTCGCGAAATCAAACGAAGAGTCACGAGAAACTCATCGTCTATTATGTGAGATATGTGAGATTTCGCACACAGTCAGAGTTGCCACAGAATTCCTAAAATTCCATTAATTCTTTCCCTGATTTCCAGACAAATTTTCATGTTTTTCTCTGACTTTCAACAATATTCTGACACTTTTTTGTAGCTTCCTCCTGATTTGGAAACCGTTAAATATTTTCTTGAGAGAGCAAATTACTATTGACGTTGCTGACACTGTTTGCATTTAATTTGTCGAGTTGGTAGTAAGTACTTCAAAACTGCATAGGTGTGAAATAGTAATGTTAAATTTATTCAAAGCCAAGAATTTTAATTTTCTGGAAAATTTTTCGAAATTCCCTGAATCTTTGCTCATTTTCCTGATCATTTTCATTTATAGTTTTGTGACAATCCTGTTGCTAAATGGTGTCCACGTAATTGAATATTATAGTACTGCAATTATATTTTCCTTGTTTAAAATCACGTTTCGACGGCCATCTAGAAACATTTGTTTTTACGTTTGAATATCGCGCGGTCTATCGGTACGTACTGAAGTTATGCGAGAGCAGCGCGACGACTGGCTTATCCATTCTTGCTTGACGTGAATCGTCGAAAAATCTAGTTTGATTTAATTGATCCGTTTAGTTACGCACTTCTTACTGTGCGTCAACTTTGCACGGCGATCTACTTAGATTGATGATGCTTTTATTTTTGTCGTGGCGCTATTCCGAGAGAGACTGTTTTATCTTATTTATATCTCGGCGCATACTAAGAGAAAGAAAACGCACGTGAGACTTATGAGGAGCAAGTCCTCCTGTGAAGAACAGAAACGAATATCGCTTACTTAATCCACCGCAGTGAAATGACAAAATTGATTTTTTCTTGCGACGATCTCGTTTGGCAAAATTAGGTTACTAAACAATGACCGATACTTTTTTTTTTCTATTTCTGTGATTTTATAAAGTCATGACATATTTGAGCGACTTGATGCTCGAGATCGATTCGAAAGACAGATAAATGCGTAATGTTTTACTTTTTAGAAACTCGCGCTAGGTTTTTACAGTAAATCGCACGTAATCCTTTTTTCATCGATGACATGTCGACCGCCATAACGATGAATGTATCTGACGTTTGATACGAAAAGAATAAAAAAGAAGGAACGATAACAGTCAAGTCAATTTACCAAGCCGATATACAAAGAAATACAAGAGTTAGATACAAGGGTCTAAATCGCAATGTAAACACCGTATACAATTTCAGGTATTTCTACGTCAAATCTTATGTTTTACTTCCCCCAGCCCGTAATTCGCGCCGTCTCGCAGATAGCCGGTCACGTGACCGGTAGTGTGTAACTAACGCGCCTCTCGACCCCGAGACTATGCGACAACGAGATGCTCGATCCCGCGGATTCCTCGCGTATCGTGCACGACCGGCATGAACAAATTCACCGCGGGAGAGGACAGCAAACTTCCTTATCGATGGATCAGTGGCCGTGCCCGGAACTGGGCTAGAGGGCCGGCGGAGAGAAATAAAGAGAGAATGAGGGGGGAGGGGGGAGAGAGAGAGAGAGGACGGTGTATTTTGTGTCTGATTGAGTGCGTTCAACAGAAAAAGCAACTTTGCAAAATTGTTGTAAAATTCTTTGGTACGATTTAGTCGGTCTCGCCCTTAGTTCCTCCCTGGAGCCAAGTATACAAATGAATCACATTAAAGAATTTTACACGACACTTGCGAAGCTGTTGTTTTTTCTTCTGCTAAACGCAACCTTTCCCTCCGCTATCGTTGCGACGACGTACCGTCGAGACGGATGGCACCGTGTTGTGTACGATCGCGCACAACAGATGCGCGCAATGGTGTTGTGTGCTGAACTATATGCGTGTAAAGGTATATGGAGCGATTCGCGTATAGGTAGAGAGTTGACGTATATACGTACGTACGTGCGGACCCGGTAAATCGGGGCATGTAGGACTTTTACAATACACGCCTGTAACCCTGGCGACCTGGCCCTGGCGTGGCCATAACCGCGAGGTCGGTCTGTTCACGAACGCACCGTGGTCGAGTAGGACGTAAGACCGAGTCGCGTCTCGTAGCGCGTTGTACATCTACGAGACGGGGCTCCTGTCTTTCTCTCTCTCTCTCTCTCTCTCTCTCTCTCTCTCTCTCTCTCTCTCTCCGCTTCGTCTCTCTTGCGCTTCGCCGCACGAGGTCCGTTCACTCCTGGATGCGCTGGTAAATGTTGGCGTGCGGCTGGCGCGCCGAGTAAACAGCGGAGACGGTAGCATCAGCAACGACACCAGCAACAATACCAGCAACGGCGACAGCGACAGCGACGGCAGCAATCGCACCGTGCGACGTCAATGGACACAGCGAGCGGCATCATCCGATTCCTTCTCTTTCTTGCGCCTCGCACACGGTGCGTTACGAGAGCGCGAGCCAAAAACCCGGCGCGCGTGGACTCGCCTAATCGAAACGGAACTGGAACTGTCCGACCACCGTGCCGCCGCCGCTCTCGCATACTACTACCTAGCCCCGAGAGGTTTCTCTCTATCTCTTTCTCCTTTCCCCCTCGTCCCTTCGTCCCTCTCTTTCTCTTCGTCGCTCTGCTGCTATTTCTCTCTCTCTCTCTCTCCCCCCCTCCCCCCTTTTTCACTCCTCTCTATGTACGGCAAATGAGCAACGCGCGAGATTCCGAGATGCGGCAAAAGGTGCAACCTCCCTCCCACTTCTCCCCCCGCGGTGCCGCTACTACCCCGCATCACACAACAGAGTCAGAGAGAAAGAGGGACACTTTGGTACAGTGTACAAGCGAACGAAAGAGAGGAAAGGAAAGAGACAGCGGGCGAAAGAGAACGAGAGAGAAAGAGGGGTGGGAACGTGCGGGGGGAGCAAGCGGACTGGGGGGGGGGAGCGGGGGCAGACGTTGGCGGGCTTGGATGGAGGAGAGGGATGGACGGGATAAGATAGAAAGAGAACCGTCCGTGACTGACGGAGACAGGGGTCCGTAGGGGGTGGCGGCGAGCAGCAGAGAACCGGGACGCGGGGTTTCGAAGAGGGAGGAGGGAATACGACGGGGGGAAACAGGGGGGAGAGAGGAGGAAGGCATATGAGACATTCCTTCAGTGAACGGGTCGACCGAGTGTGAGTGCGAGCGAGCCGGTAAAATCGATGTGGCGAAGTGTAGTTGTGCCGCTACAGCGTGCGAAGGGTGCCTCTGCTCTGTTGTACCTCTCTCTGTCCCCTTCCCCCCCTAACTCTCTGCCATGACCTCCCCCC